TATCAGTATTCCAAATATTTTTCATCAATAATCTCTATTACAAACATTTATGAACATATATTGTAAATAATGATACACCATGGTTGATCATTGTAGCATGAATAATTAATACAAAAAAAACGACCTTGATGACCTGCGCCAACAACATCGATTTTACTCAATGAGCTTAAATTGAGTGCAAATCAATGAATATGATTTTTCAGTGCAAAAATGGAACAATAATATGAATATCATATTACTCTATAAGTCCCTTTATCTGATTAGATCAAAAGATTTTTACTTTATCATAGAGAATAACGTCGATTTTTAAATTTATTTTCATTTCAAAGTATAATCCTGCTATTCTCTCACACATGTTTCCTTAGCCTTGGATATTTGATATGTCAATCAATTCTTAGTATATAAAAATTTCATTGAATTCATCATAAAATAGTATTCAACAATCAAGGTGAAAATGTTTTTCAAAATTATTTTTCTTTCAGCTCTTTTATCATTAACAACTAGTGATATGATAAAATCACAATTATTTCATCATCTTTCAATTTCTGATCCATATTATACAAATATTCGAACGAATTTTACTACAATTCCAGAATTTTATAAAATACCTGATCTTCATTTTTCCTATTGGAGTGCACATCCAGTATTATGTGAAATACAATTTCAAGGTTCATGTTCATCATTAATAGAAAATACTCAAACAATTATTCGATTTAAATATGATAATCAATATGCAAAAATAAATGATTTAGAATTAAAAAGTCCAGTGAAAGATATTGTTACATCATGTTCAAAATTTGGTAGTGTTTATTTTCCAGCTGGTACTCATACAATTGATGTTGAAATACAAACATTTGGTGGAATAAAAATTTATTTTGGTGAATTATTTATAAAAATGACTGAATCGGCTTGTCCAAGCGTGACGGAATCACGTTTTTTCCTCTTGTCTTTGTAATATCTCAACGAAATGGAATAGGATAAGGCTTAAAATATTCACAGGCTATGTAAGTTGAGTTCCTCTACGCATGCTGAAAGTTTCATAGGATTTCAAGTTTTAGTGTTTGTTTTATGACTGACACATAGGTACGTTACGGAATCACACAAAATGGACTTTGATTTTGAGTGCTGTTCAAAGAGTAAAAAAACTTAGCTCAACTATAAATGTAGTGGCAAAACTCTCTCTACAAGAGTTGTAGCTAAGATGCCTAGCTATATAAAAAAACAAAAAAAAATTGCAAAATATGCGTTGCTGATTTTCTGGGCAGAAAAAAGTGTCGTGACGGAATCACGTTTTTCGTGACGGAATCACGTTTGAGAAATGACCATGTTTTCTATCTTTCGTTTTCTTTAAAAATTTAAAGATAGTTTCTTAGAATAAACAATCTGTTGTCATACGTTTAAAATCAATGAAGAAAAATTTTCGGTCACGATTGTTATAGCATAAAAATTCTTTTTTTTGAAAACGTCAAAATATGTTAGATATAGCCATCTAACGAGGGAACGTTTTCAACTGTCAAATCGCTTTGAGTTCGGATTCTATGCATAAAATAGACTCTAATGAGATATGAAAAACTCCAAAAGGATAAGTCCTCTTAGACCTTCTGTCCAGAGTTATAGGCATTTTACTGGAATTTCGCCTATAGTATGATATACACCAACAAATCGAATGACGGTGTTTCGACCTAAGATTTTGCCTATAGACAGATCTATTGGCCATTAGAATGTTCGGAAAATCTCAGCTCAAAAGAATGTTCTCTTCTCAAAATATCAAGGTCTCAAAAATCATCCATAGCTTACAAATGGAGTCTATGGGCTTTTTTATTTCAAACTGAATTCTAAAATCAGAAAAACCGCACCAATTTCTTCCGAATCAAACTTTTCTCGCTTGATACTACGTAGTCTCACTAAAAACCCTTAGTCCCCCCTAGTCCTGCAAAGTCCCCCTTAGTCCCCCCCACAAAAAGCTTAGTCCCCGCTTAGTCCCCTGTGCAAGGGACTAAAGCCTATAGTACACAAAACCACAAGCACACCCTCACCCTCACTCGCGCGCCCACACCCGCACCATGGGTGTGGGTGTGTGTGTGGGTCCCAGACCAACACCCACACCCTCAGTCACCTCCCCCCCTCACTCCTAGACTCACGTTTCAGTTTGAAATCAAGTATTATTTTTATTTGATAAATTCAGACTGAAATTAAATAGCCCATAGTATGTACAAATGATGCTAGAATTTTCCGTTTTTTGAAACTTTAATATTTCGAGAAGAAAACATTCTTTTAAGCTGAAATTTTCAGAACATTCTACTGACCAATAGATTTGTCTATGAGCAAAATCTTAGGTCGAAACACCGTCATTCGATTTGTTGGTGTATATCATGCTATAGGCGAAATTCCAGTAAAATGCCTATAACTCCGGACAGAAGGTCTAAGAGGACTTATCCTTTTGGAGTTTTTCATATCTCATTAGAGTCTATTTTATGCACAGAGTCCGAACTCAAAAGCAACTTGACAGTTGAAAATATTTCCTCATGAGGTAGTACAAATGTTGCTGGATACCTATATTACAAAGTCTATATCTCCATAATTATTCATCCATTTGAGCTGATATTTTTAGTTTCTACCTAACTTTACTAGGTCTATCTACTATGAAAATATCAGGCAAATTCATGGGAACGATTCAGCTAAGTTGTGCTAGGACCGGTCACTATTTACGCTAATGTCCTTCAAATCACTTATATAATAGAAAATACATGGAATCACTATAAATCATCTATTAAATTAGCTAATCGGGCTCTAACATCGCTTCTACACATTCTCATATCTGCTCAGCATCATAACTGCAGAAAAAGATAATATTTCAAAATTTTGTGGGAAAACTTAATCATTCGATGGTGATTCCGTCACGGTTCTCTTCACCTGCCAAAAAGCTTATAAGAACACTCAATTCGTTGGTTGGATAGAGCGTAAAAAACTGTATTTAGAGCACTGCTTTTTGAAGTAAAAAAACAATTACTCTTGGCTAAAAATGAATTATAAGGAATTTTCGTGATGGAATCACCTTCATCAATGGATTACATTTACAAACGTAAATAAAATTCTGAAGAAACGCAGAATGATAGATCCCTTATCATCATTGTATAGAGCTTTGAAAGTATTATTAATTGATGTGAGAGCTTTCGAAAAGGACAAACTTATATATATGAAAAACTCGAAAATAAGAAATCATAATAAATATTGATTTTTATCTCTTGCACGACACATCGCTTTCCTAGTGCTTTTTCTTCCAAGAATTAGCATAAGTATGTAAAGAAATATGCATTTCTATATGTTATCGGCATCGTTCTACACGATGGTCACATTGGTTTTGGGAGATTGAGTAGGTCAACTTCGCCCACCAAGGTATACCGTTACGTGGACAGGCCGGAATATGATCCATTATCAACAACTAATTTACATACAATGGAATGGAAACATTAAACAACATCTAATCAATCGAAATTTTTTTTTATTTGTTAAATCAGTTTTTGATTATGCGAATAAAATGAATTGAAAAGAATGATCTGATAATGATTTTCTTTTGAACTACCATCAACGAGTAATAATTCAACTCAATAAACTTTCGCATTAATATGATATCAGTTATATGACTCACTGCGTTATAAATTAAACAAATAATTAGCAAAATTTGCTGTCAATGTTATTAATTACAGAAATTTTTAATAATGTTTTGCTTATTTATTTCAGCAAAAAAGTCGTTTTTTTATAGAAAGATTCCTAGTCAAATTCTCTACAAAGCATCTGTATTCTCATTATCTTGACTAGTTCTCATTATTCTGTAACAGATGATACGATTGTTTGGTCTAAAAAGCACAACTTTCAAAACCAATATTTTGTCAGATTTTTCTACTTTTTATTTCAAGTCTTCAGTTATTGTGCGTTTGAATAGCTCTGATCTCAATCCATTAGCTTATTCCATTTGGGGTGAATATGCAAAATATTATTATCTGGAATTTTGAAAGTTGTACTTTTTAGATCAAATGATTGTATTGTCTGCTACAAAATAATGAAAACTATTCAATTAAAGATAATAATAATACTTACGTTTTGTAGAGAATTTGATGAGAAATCTTTCTATAAACAAACAATTTTTGCTTTACTGAATTAAATATGCAAAATACTGAAAGATCGATCTTTTCTGGGTCATGTGTCATTATTTTATTGCTTTTCATGTTGGTGTCTCTTTGTGATGCTTGTATTCGATTGTCTTTAATAATATTTATTTCTTATATTCTAGGCTACTGGTCATTAGTACGGATTATGTCCAAGAAACTTCTACGTTAATGACTATAAGATAAGTCAGATATTGATGAGTATATGAGGGTGAGTGTAGATAGGCGAAGAATAAATGAAATGCCGTTATCTACATTAGAATTTTGTAGAGTCGAATTTTCTTTTTATTTCTAAGAACCGATTCCCATTCCGAAAAACTTTCCGACTTGGACGGAGTGGAAGTTGGAGCCGGCCCATGTATCCATCTTTTAATTTTCGACGCGTCCCCGAGCGTTTTTCAGCAATGTAACTTCACGCCTTTAGATGCCTCCAAAATGCAACATTGGGTGTGGGTGTGGCGGGTGTGGGTGTTAGTACTCCTCAACTGATACCCACACCCACACCCTTAAGACACCAATATCAAAATATACATAATCACCATGTAATAATGTCGTAATTGAAAGAGTGATTGAACTAGATTTTATAAGCACTATCGTTTTTACACGTTTCACTTTCTTTTGAACGTAATTTAAGGTTATGGGTAAAGATTAGAAGAATGCCATGCTGTTGCCATTGAATGATAAATTTTTTCTTCGAAATTTATCAATAAATCATTTGTTGCGATTATCCAGTGAAATACTTTAGGTCTTGACATCATTTGAATCATCAAAATGGAGGAAATACAAGAAAGAATAGAACTGTTTTGCTTTATTGAAAATCTTAAATTGTAAAAGATATTCTTAATAAAATGTGTTCAGTTTAATTGATATCTCATGAATGTTTTCATATTGATCAATGAAATAGATATATTCGTGTAGGTACCTAAAGGTTCACTGTCTGTGAAGTTACATGATATACTGAGAGTGAATTACTATTTTGTGTAGATGTCAACTTGAGACACGATAACAACAAATCCAAGTGAAAAATAAAGATGTGAATTTAGAAGTTGATCGTAGTGTTCAACGATTGTGCATTTTTTCATTGAATTCGTGTATTTAGTTTGAGACAATAACAAGTAACTAGCGACTGAATTATTGAATGTAGGACGGATAGATAATGAATTATTTTTTTGTCTTTTATACAAATTGTTGAACAGATAAAAGAACCTCTTTTTTCGTACTATTTAGCTTTTATTAAAATAATTATTTCAATACTTTTTATTCGAAAATGAATACAATATGATTGACATAGCAGGAGTATGATTTATTTTGCTTCTATTCAAATCTTTCGTCAAATTATTGTCAGTATAGTCTTTATTTTGATTCGGTGTGGGTATTGGAAATAATGTGATATTTGCAGATACAAGATTTGTTGTGGTTTCTCTTGAACATTTATATGAATACCTTTTTGAATCTCATTAAATGTCAGAATAGATGTTTGTTCGTTTTCAAATATTTTTTAGACATATATTTTGAAATGAAAATTGTTTGAAATAATTTCGTTATACGAATGAAAAGCATTTGCATTTAACGATAGGATATTTTGTTTCACATATTACAAGAGAAATAGTTTATATAACACTGGAGAAAAACAATATCAAGAGTGTCGACCAATGTTCAAGTTGTAGAAAAGCTCGAAAGTCATGATAAAACTGAAAACTTTTTTCTTCGTCTCTTTAAGATCGAGGGTGTAGGTATGGATGTATTTGAAGGGACGAACAGCACCCACACCCCAAAATTCTCTCGGTTG